AATTACTGCCTGAACTTCTTTAATCTTGTCGCATTATAATTATTACTCTGCGAATTCTTACGCATTTATAAATAGAGTGGTATACGTGATACGGAAAAGTGTTATTCTGATAAATGATGTAGTAATTATAGAGTTTAATGTGAAAATTAATAATGCAGTTTACCTTCCACTAAGGATGTTAAGAGCGTGACATTGGCAGCCTTCCTTCTTCCGGCTGGCAAGTTTAGTCCAATTTTTTCCAACTTTTCCCTAAGCAGACGTCCGCCATTCTTGGATTTTGCTCTAAAATAAAGAATCAATAGAAAAAATTAATCTCATGTATCAACATCGAAATGTTAGTACCATTATTTCTATCATTATTAAGTTCTGTCAATGAGAAATATTACAAGCTTCATTAACAAATACTAGCTACATATGTAAATCCATTTTTGTTTATTTTTTGACTCATGTTAATTTGTATAAATTGATTGACAATGATTTACTGAAAAAAGTGTTCTCAAGACTGAAACGCGTATATTGAGCTAATGCTCGTCGGTGAGCGCGGAAATTTCGAAACAGGATTGCTCCATTAATCATTTTTGTCATGATCTTTGACGGAAGAAAAAAGAAGTCTAACCGAGTAGAGGTAGCCTGGATAGAGAAACGAGAAAATTAACATAATCCATTGCTACGCGTGTCATCCGTCGTCTATTGAGTAACTCGACTTTGTGAGTACATCAGTCGATCGCGGATCAAGATACTTTTCAAACCATTCGAAAAAGCAACTTTAAATGGTACGCTTTTAAAAATCATAATTAGCTGCAATTATAAAAATTCTTCATCAGTATTCTTCTTGCACATCGAGTGTGTATCAAGATTATTTAAACAGATCGTTGAATCTTCAGTTTGATTTAACATATGGAAGAACGAACGTACATTCTTCTCACAGATTCAATTAAATTGAGGACTGGATACTTGACATCTTTCGTTTAAATGACGGTATTAAAGAGAGTAAACATTTCAGCACTGGAAGGTGCAAAATATTCACGAATAAGTTTCACAAGTCCTCGAGTATGTTTCGCGGAATTTGAGTGATCGATGCTGCTTAAACACATCCTATTCATCGATCATCCGTGGACCGACGTAACGGTAACGTTAACACACGTGGCTACTTTTGTTCGATGGAGTAGCCAACCCAGTCATTTTTCGCTTCGCCCGGCAATTAATACACTTTACCGCTACGATCTTTTAATATCAGATATCTACCGATAGGATCTCAGCTCATGGAAATAATATTTCGTGCTACTTCCGTGACACGTCGATTCCGACCTTCCAGAAATAAATCACATTGTCGTAATCCTCTTCGATGCGTCGGCTTGATTTAGAAATGTACAGTCGTTTATAGCTCACGGATCAGATAGCATTTTATTAGCCATGATAATCTTGTTTACGATGGTTTTTGTGGTTTCTTCTTGTAGCTTTCCATGTTGCATTGTAGGATACGTAAAGGCTTGACTGAATTCTCGATATAAATGCACTCAAACAAAGTTTAATATGTATATCGTGGATGCTCTTTCCCCCAAAATTATTTAAAAACGTGCATTTTTTTAAGTTGAAGATAGAAATATATTTCTGCAAACACGTGGTTTAACAGGTGATTATCCTGCATAAACCGTGCAGTTATTATCCTCGCATTTCTACTCCTCCATAATTTTACTGAACTCGGTGTCCTCCTACTAACCGTTTGCAAACGTTTCACACCATTCAAGAAATCGCTCGCGTCTCCTACATGTATTTGTGTATTATCGACGCCAGTCCGGCAAAAGATTCCTTTGTAAATGAGTACGTGACGAGAGCGATTCTCCATTCATTACAGAGTCTTGTCCCGGGAAGAATATTTCGCGTTCTTCAGCGAAACCCATCTTTCTTCGCACCCTTCCCACTCGATTTTCTCTCCCCCAATTCGAACTCTAGGACATCCACTGATTGCTCGAGACGTTCTCGACTACTGCCATCGTTAATCCTTACGGTTCACGATTGTTGATAAATCAAAGAATGCTTCGCGATTTCCACGATTAGAACGCGAGAAATTACACTGTTTTATGAATGAAAGAATTGCGTACTATATTTCAGAATCACTTATATTATCAATAATCATCGGAACAGCTATTTTACGAGCCATTTAATTATCCACGGTTGAAGTTTAAGGCGATACGATTATCTGACAAGATTATAAATTACATCCTGCATTTTCTTGTTTAGATTTCCAGCGATCTAATCTCAATCTTGAGTACTTCTTTTTTTAAGATTGTAATAAATTCCGAGGTTACAACATACGAATGGAGGGATCGTGGTTAGGCTAAGGGGAGACCTGATAACAACAGGTGAACGTGAATCTTTTTCGAATAATCGACGACGCGAAGCTTAAGTTACGCGGCATTCCCCGTTGGAACAATCGTATCGTAGGATCTTTTGTAATGCAATATAACTGTCGATCGTAAACCTCCGTTTACGGTCATAAAGATGCAACGCGGCTAGAAAAGAAGAGAAAGTAGAAGAAATAGATAAAAGGGATGAAGGGGGAGTAAAAGAGAATTTACGATGTCGTCAAATGATCGTCTACAAATAACACCTACCGATTGCTATCATTTGCATCCTCTACAAATTCACAGACTTACTATTTGCATAAAAAAAATGCAACAAAAATGTAATAACTTCGTCATTATTTAAATTCTGCGGAGAAGACAACTTTTAAATTTTACAAGTAACATGAAGGCTTCTTTGATTCTGAATATTTTTTATAGCAAAAAAATATTGAAGATGACAAGTGGGAATTATCTGGCCATAAAATGGTCGTTGATTTTTTAATACTTGGTTTACTCGTTGCTTAACATTTCTCAGTGAAACAATTATCTCTTAGTCTATTATACCTTATCGTCGACAATGTTTCATGTTAAAGAATGCTCGGTTCACCACAGCAATTTTCAAAGTCGTTAACCGATCGCGAGGAAGAAAATGCAAAATCATACGTTCGTATGGAGTTTTACGATTGCTGCGTGAACAAGTGTGCACATTTTTTGTGTGACATCAGGGAACATTTACAAGATTCTTATTCGATGCATCGTGCAAATCTAAATAGGCTTTGAAGCATGGTCGCTTGCAGTTAGAGAACATCGACATGAAAAATGACTAAAATAAATACAAGTTGCGTGTCTAGTTTTAATTTACTATTAATAGAAACAGGTTGAGAATTTCAATGATTCTTGGTCGCGAGAAATCGAATGCGAATATCATTAATAAAACAAACTGTTGGTCGAAGCGGTTCTATAAACTGGCAATTTTAATTTCGTTTTCGAAGCTGGCAATTTAAGAGGGTCCGACGCGTACTGTAAGGCCGTCGATCGTAAACTTTAATTCAGCGTGAAGGTAGAATCACACATGAAAGATAGAAGGGCTGCGAGAGACAAAAGAAAAGCAGACGGTAGAGGATCTATGGTGGCGCGAGAACCGGGCGCGTGTAATTATCAGTCGGATCGCTATTCGAATGGATGAATTATATCACGCCGCGGTGCATCGGATGCACTGCCAGCCGGAGGGCCGATACACCAGGAATTGACACTCGGAGCTACGCAATTATTAATGTCTCATTTGCATCGGCTAGATCTGGGTCTGCTGTTATTGCCGGTTTCGTTCTCCTTTTACCCCTCCCGCTTTTATGCTTCACGCGCTCGCGGAATTTGCTCTGGTTGAAACCGCGAGGCCGCGTTTTATAGACAACCGCGTGGGCGTATGGAAAATGTTACAACTGTTTTTGTTCGCTCGATCGCTGCTCGTTATGGTTGTGCAACTGCCTATAGATTCGTGAGTGATCTTAGCTATGATGTTCCGTTGAAGGGTTATGAATACAGAAAGAGTGATCGTGCGTCAATTTCGTAATTCGAGGTTTCTTGTTTAACGTCATGACTTGACTTCTTTGTTAATACATTCTTATGGTCTCGTGCAAAGTAATCTGACGTACAAGTGAGAATATCGAGACGAATGAAATCAGCAATCGAGACGTAATAACGTTTCGTCGTACTATGCAGGATTATTTCCCTGAAAGTGGAATAAGCGTTGACTCGTACCACTGGCTCGGCTCGTTAACATCTCGTGCATCAGACCCCGACAAAGACGAACAGCTCTCTATTATTACTTATTACAACCAGCTATATAACACGCCTCTCTCGCCTCGCGTAATCCTCAAGCAAAAAGTCGAACGCGCGCGTATATTCGCGTACACGCGTTTCACGTGCGTGAGATACATTCGGCCGGTAGGTGCCGGGTGATTTATCCACGCCTTTGGTGATAAAGCATTGCGCAACGGATAGTGTTCTGGCCGAGTAAAATGGTGAATCAGATAAAGAACGGCTCTTCCCGCTTCCAAGAGAGAACACCATAAATCAGGCTGGGCCGCGCCGGGTATACGAGGTGGCCCGAATCGAGCGAACCCGCGTTTATTAATTAACCGGCTAGATAAAGTCGCGTAACGGTGAAACGTATCGGTATCTCGGTTCCGTGGCTGGTCCACACCATTGTTACGCTGTTACGAAGCTCCCAGACGTTTTTCCAGTACCAACGACAAATGTCCGGAAACGTGTACGCGTTATTTACAGACCCACGTATCTCGTGTTTCGTATCGTATCTTTTCGGATGAGGCATCGGTCAGCATCAAACGATACCGTTAAAATCCTTACTCAATCCGGGAACATTTACGTGCTCCCTTCCTGGTTGTTTCGCTTGTTCCGATACAAACCGAATACTATAAATAGATCGCAGATTCTATGCATAGAGAACGTAGTGTCAATTAATATATGAACTGTTCTACTAAATATCGTATCGAGCATTACACGAAATACCATGAGATGGGAAGTCGGATGTATTTGTTTCTAACGTAAGAGTCGACGACTTTACGATAGCTCGCGTCACACCGTCTGAGTACGACGGGGGTTAATCCGTTTATAAAATTGTATTATGCAAACGAGGCGGTTGGTGCAAGTTGGAGCGCGGGTTGCAGGTTTCAAGGCAGTATCTTACCTCCGTAAGACTCCGCCGAGGAGGCTCGCGTTTAAGCATTCCGGTGGCGATAGTCGTCTTTGTACCTCGGCTACCGTAACTTTGTACTTGCTGGTGCTGCTTAGTAACGATAATCGTCCTGGAACCGAGCAGAACACGTCCGATGGCTGCGCGTTGCCGCTCAACATCGCCTTCTCGCTCCTGTCCGACGGTTTCATGTCTGCGAACACACACACAACGTGTTTTACAACCGGCGAATTATGCGTTTCGCTGATTGGAAATCAATTAACCCGGTGTAACCGGGACGTGAAACTCCATGCTAGACGTTTTAATTTATTGCAACGTTCGATTGGACGTGAATATGCATGCGCGAGGATTAAGGTTTACGGGTATCTCGATTATGTTTCTGCGGAGAAATGTAAATACAATATGTGTGTAGTAAAATAAATATATAAATGCAGTCAACCTTTCTTAAAGATAAAAGATTAGAGACAGGAGTGGCAAGGTTTATTGCGGATTCATAATAGATGAAAAGTAGTTAATGCTCATTATCATTAAAGACTTTACACTAAATCAAAGTATAAATCTTAGAAGACTATCACATTCAGAATTCCTTCCTTATTCGAATTTGCATAAAATATTTCTCAATTAATTTTATTCCGATAAAAGGAATCCAATAATCCTCTTAAGATTACTGTAGACGACTCCTGTAAGAGGTCAAAGAGGGTTTTAACGAGTGGACGGTACGGAATACCGAAACGGACGGTTCCGGCTGAAATTACGTTATCTCCGGCTAGGTATGGGTGCATAACCATGATACCGAGGCAATATCCTACGCGAAATATTTTAAATTCGCCGTAGCTCGTCCCGTTTTCGTTTCTATGCACCGATAGGTCCCGGTTATTGCATCGTTCCTCTGGAATGCTTAATATAGGGCCGCGGGCTTCGGACAAAGCCGTGTTATTACAAGGCGAATCGATGGTCAACTTATAACTTGAAACTCTTCATTGCTTCGCAGCATCATGAGGCCACACCTATGGTTCTGAATAAACGATACCCGAAAACCGATAACGTCGAAATTTTTATCCTAAAAACCATGCTAACATGACTTTTCGCCACCCCTTCGTTTTTGTATAATGCTTGGGTTTCATGCATCGAAATTCCATTGAATAGCTTGATAACATACCGTGCGTACGTCGTTTTAAAAACGTGTTCAATACTGTAATCCCTGTTAAAAGTATTTTCGACGTTGAAGTCTTGTAATAAAGCAGCAGCTCTCTTTCTAGCGCTTTCTAACTTGGTTTTCTGTTATCATTATGCTAGTCCCATTTTGTGCTGTTGAAACCTCTGTGATATTTATTGTATCGCGGGATACGCGGTCGAAATGATCTCTCTAGATGAAAATCAATTTCGATTGACGCATGATTCGAAACACATTTCGCTCACACAGCTAGGAGGGAATGAGAGGGAAAGAGGAAGAGAGTGCAAACAAGTTGTCAAGTAGAATCAATCCACATCGACGTCTCGATCGGCCGGGTCAAGCGTGGTAATAAATTTCTTAGCGAACCAAATAGGTCGACGTGGGCTTGTGTTCCGCGCTTATAAATTGTAATCCCGAGAATGAAGCGGTAGGAAATCGTGTAACGGTAATAGGCCTGTCGATGGAGCTGACCAGACAATTTGGTGGCATCGTACGTAAACATCCATCATTTTTATATAATTTTTTCTTTATTACATTCGTACATATAACAAGTCGTTCTGTTTCTCAAGTTAAAAATCTAACATGCTGTGTTTCGTCTTATCATTCACTAGCATGAGTACTATCGAAGGTGAAGTAGTTTGGTGTGCAGTAAAATGCAATGTAAAATGTCAAAAGGTACTCGAGATAAAAAAAAAAAGCGAGGGGGAGAACGTTTCTTGATGTTACCTCCGTTATCTTGATCTGAGTAACGGCACTGGAAGGTGCATTAATTTATTTAATGGGAATAACTCATGTATTGCTTACGTTAGTCGGCTGTGAAACGTGTAATTATCGGAGGGGTCGTTTTAACCTTTCGCCGGTGCGAATTGTGAAACGGTCTCACTCATCGATGAACACTGATATCGGGCAATCGATCGGGAGTTAATTACAAATGCGTCGTTTAATTCGATCGGCGAATGAAAAAGAGGAAACCGTGACATTTTCGCCGATGCGTCTCTTCCTCAATTTTCATAATAATTGTCTCGCGAGAATATTTTACTATGATATAAATGTTTTTAAGAGAAATTGACCGTTACCTAAGAGGTCGATCGTGGGCCGATTGATCTTGACGGGTAAATTGCAATGCAACGAGGCGGCCACTGAAATTATACGCCGATATTCATTCATGACGGTGATTTGCAAATTGCCGGGTGTGCATGAAAAAAGAAATTCGTCTCCCCCTTTTTGCCATCTAAATTTCGCGTTATACTTTTTCTCGTCGCGGAGATTATATGTCAATTTATCGCTGCGAGAGCTGTGATGCTATCGCTAAGTCGTTTAACTCGGTTAATAATAGAGCGCGAGATATTTCGGAATTATTACTTTCCCTTCGCGTCTGACTAATGCGATGCTAATGTTAACCTAGCTTTCTCTAAAATTAAACGATTTTAACGCGCGGTCATCCGCGGGAGTCAATATCAAATCATTTTTTCGAAATTCTTCACCTTTGACCCATTCATATACCAACTAAATCAAAATCCAATTGCCGAGATGATCGTGGAATGTGTCGTTGAAACTCGCCGCTATAAATTTCGCTGTATGAATTCGAAATTTAATCGACTAATGAGATTTTCACTCATCCTTCACGTTCTTCTTGACGACGACGCGACGCCGGCGTATAGAAAGCGTATACGTATTAACGGCAATATCCACGGCCAGATCGCTGGCGTCTTGTTCCAGGCTAAGATAACGTCTAGGAAGTCGCCACCAGACAATTTGTCATTCGGGCAACGTAGATATATTGCCGGCGCTTGTGAAACAAAAGCGCTAAGAACTGTGAAAACCCTCTTTCACGGTAAACAGATTGATCGTAGTTGATTAAGTCGCTTGTATGTATAACTGCGGTAATTATGGGACAGCAACTGGTAACGAGTACAGTCGATTTTTATGTAATTTAAGATACTTGTGGTATCAGTTAAAAAAGGTACATATGTATACAATTATTATAATAATTCTATGATATTTTTTAATTCAATATTGTTCATTGACATCTGAGATACTGAATAATTTTAAGGAAATAGTTTTATTTCGCATCCTAAGTAAACGGAATAATTGATAGCTAAATAGAAATTTATTAAAACAGTTAAAACAGGGTGAGAAAAATTGATGGCCATTGATCATGGTTAAAGTCTCATTAAGCGATTAATTTCGCAACGAATTTTTCACTCGACTTTGCAATTCACAATCGTTTGTCAGAGACATCGGAATCGGTATCGCGTGGGTAGTCAATTAAGCCTGGAACGGCAATAAATCGTCGCTGCCGTTTCATCTGAATAAAACTTCTTCGACGCCGGTAGATCTTAGGACGCGGAACAACAGGTAGATCGTAGCAGTAGGTAAATCGTGGGCGGGTTTCTACGTTCGAATGCCATTATAATGTTGGGAAAGTTACAATGAAGCAGCTCGATACTGGCAACGCGCCGCGTGATTCTCGATCACGAAGCTTGTTGATGGCTATCTCGCAATGTTTCGTCGTTCCCGATTCGTGATGGATTAAATCAGAAAATTCAACGGCAGAGTTTCTTCAACATTTTTCATCTTCCAATCTTATGTTCCATTTATCAATACCCTCTTTCTGCATATGAAATGCTTCTCAACCTCGTGATCGCTCGTTGTGTTACATTAGTACTGTAGATTTTCCAGACTTAATAAAAATTCGTGATTTAAATGTATAAACTCTGATAACACATTAAGAACAATTGAAGAATCGCTCAGAAACGAATCAATACAATCCCATGTTGATTCAAAGCTAAACTGGAACACTTACTTTCGAATCAATGTGTTCTGTCACTAAATCATCAATTCAATTAATCGGGAATCATTTTTAATTCCAGTATTTCTCGAATCAGTAGTCCCGCCGTTAAATACAAATTGTATAATTTCCGAGAAGTCAAAATTATATACACGACAGTTTATATCTGTTCATTATCGTTCCGTCATTATCATTATCATCGCGGACACGTGTCCACGATTTTGCATGAGTCGATGTTTCTGCAACCTGTTCGTACGTTTCTATGAAGTAGGTATCGATGCACACGCGGCTAATGCAGCCGACGCGCTGTCATTCATCATCCATTCAGCTAATTAGATATTCAAATGAACGAGATGCGTAAAAAGAAGTTTCCCGCGCGCATGATCACGGCAAAATAATTTGCAATTAAACGTCGCCGTGAATCTGTGAAAATCTATACTCATTCATCATATTTATTCTGTTGCCTTTAATTATTGCACCGTCTATGAAGTGGTTAACAACAAAGTTGTTTTAGATAAACGATCGTTATGCTTTTTTCGTATGGTACATGCATACATTTTACTTCTTGCCATCGCCTCGAATAAGAAAACAGAAACGAAGAACCTGAATCTTATTTATATGTATATAGTGTTAAATATTAATTATTATTTCTTCATTAATCACCGGAAGTGACAGTTTTGATCATAAGGAGCAAGAAGGTGCATGTTCTTAAATCGGAATACTTGAAACTGTATTATGAAAGCGATATGGAAAAGCAGCGAGGTACTTGAAAATTGCAAAAGCAAATAATCAGCAAAGTGAAATATGTTAGTTCAGGAGCGATGATCGATTTATCAATCGTGCGAGTGGAAACGATCGGCGATCCCAGCAGCCCACGACGACTCGCTATTTATCCATAGCCGCGGGCCTGTTTAGAGAAATCATTTCACGGCGAGATGCAACGGAGTCCACGATTTTAATGAGTCGATCCGGTGAACGCGGCTGATTTATAGCTGGATTACGTAACGCGATTATTACACAGGTGTATTGATAAATTAATACATTCGCGACCGGGTGCAAGCGCGCAGCCGAGCAGCGTGAACCACAAATTAATCGGCGCCCGGTTCGTTTCCTTACTTTGTAATTAAGACACTGGCGGCTGCGGCGGGAGCTGTTAATGCGAAACGCGTTGATCCGATATCGCGATAATAGATGTAATCCTCGTGTTTTTTTTCTCTCACAGATATCA